AACTTTTCCACCCTATAGTTCTGGACTGCTTTTCCTGCTCACAGTCAGTTTTGAATTTAAGACTTCAGTAGGGACAAGGAAGTCAAACTCCAGTGTATGAAAATTATTTTTTCCTCAAGTCTGTGTTCTATGTGGAGGGGCTTTGTGAAAAGTTGCCATACGCTTCCTCCAGGGGTCCTCTGGTGTAAGTTCCCTAGGTAGAGCTTCTTGCTAACAGACTTTTTCCTACAGTCTCCAACCTTGTTAGAGCATAGAAAGCCTTGGCTCATTGCCAGGGTCTGTGAGTTCAGCAGATTCAACAGTTTTCAGTTCAGGACATCCATTCCACAGAACGGGGAATTTCATCCTGACTTCAGTGTGCGTGCCTGGAGCCCCAGGAGAGACGTCAGCTTTGGGACCTGTGTAACACAAGTTACCTTTGTTTTCCTGCTTCCAAGGAATGGCCCTCTGTTAGGTGGCTGATCAGCCAGAGTGAAACTGCAGAAGTGCTTTCCACATTTCCTTCCCGAGTGCACTGACATTCGGCCACACTGAGTTCAGCAGTGCTGACTGTTGGCAAACCTGCATGTAGCAGCTGTGATGATGCTGAATTCATAGTCTCTGCTTCTGAAATGTAACTGTAAATACTAGGAATCCTATTTCTTTAGGGTTATGTAAGTAGGAGCCTTAGTCCAAGATTCTTTCCTCTAATCCTTGCAAACCTTCCTGCTTTATGGTTAATAGAACTTAAGAATCAAAAAAATATTTATTGCTTTTAAAGAAACCTATATTTAAAAGATGTTCTGTTTTCATGTAGTAGTGCGGGTCATTCTGCCCTGGATCACTGCCGAGAGCAAGTGTGCCATGGAACCCTGGCCAGTGAGACTGGTCTCTCTCTGCAGGAAAATATCCAAGATATTTATTTTCTAAGACAGACTTGATTAATATTATACTCTGTTTTGGGGACTGTGTGTCCATTACATCCAGTCAGGGCCCATTGATAGAATGAAATGCACACATCAGCGGAGTGGAGTGGCAGGGACTTGGTAAAAAGCTGTTTTCTGATAGGCATGGATGAATTTGCAGTGTTCTTCAGCCATTCAGAAGGCAGCTTCTTCAAAGAAGCACATTTTTGGGGAAGTTTATGGTACTTTTTAATCAGCTGGCTTTTGAGTAGCTGAAATATTATTTTTGTAATGATCTGGCCATCGACAGTTGTGACTGGTTGGCAGTGCTCTATGGTTGATTTGGCTGCTGTGTGTCTTTTGCCCGATGTAAAGATGGGAGGAGAAACAGTGACACTAAACAGGAGCTTGGATAAGGTGGATTTTCTTGTGGTTCTCTCTCCTCCTCCCATGTGTAACTAGAGTGAGCAACTGCAAGACCCCTTACTGTCCTAAAACACTTTTTCTTTCTTTCTCCAGAAGCGAGGTTGTGTTGTCTCAGTACCGAGGAACCATAGTGCAGTATGGCAGCTTCTTCAGCTTTGCTGCATTTATAGTTGAAAGATTTTGCCTGCAGCTGACAGGGGAACCCCAGCTCCACTCCAGAACACTAATTCTGTGCCACTGCTGGAGCAAGGAGCCAAGTTCAGCCTAGAGCTTATTGTAAGGGCAGAGCAATGCAAAGCTTTGAATTTTCCCAACTTTTTTGTTGAGTGATGTGTTTGGTGGGAGGCCATGTGAGCTCTAAAACTCTAGGTAAGAGCTTTATCGAAGGAAAGTTATCGACCAGAACCTTTTTAGCTTACTCAACCAATTCAACTTTTCAGCAACCTCACATGGAAATTGCCTTGTTGCAAAGTAAAATGCACATTTAAGAAAACTTCAGAGATAAACAGTTCGCGAGGGCTTAAGTTACATGGGCTTTAACAAATATTTGATCCCCACAGCCAGAGCCACCTTGTTTCACAGGTGGAAAGGGTTGCAGAAGGATTGCATTTACACAAGGAATTGTGTTAATGTGATCTGGCTCTCATCCTTGCTCAGGAAGCTGGTCTGCCAACTTGCAGTAAGTAGCTCAGACAGGTGGTTGGCACCTTTCTCTAGTGATACTACGGGCTGCAGAGCAGCAGAGAGGAGGGAAAGTGCTGGTTCACACTGTATGAATGGAGATAGTCAAGGCTGAACATCATCTAGCCAGCACTCCTGCTATGCTCTTCTCCCAGGGACAAGCTGTGGAGCTGGCAGAGAGCACACCATTCTTGCTAATCCCATCTAGAAGGTCAGTGCTATTACTCGTGCTCATTTGTTGATGGAGTTCCTAACATGGCTACAGCTCCCACATCTCATAAGGCAGAATGTCGGTGTGGCACGTTTTTCTTCTATTTCAAAAGGCTGGAAAATTGCCTATATAAGCTGCTAGTGTTGAGCTGGATGGCCATAGCAATAAGAGATTCTCCAGGGCTGAGTTAGGTGCCTCTTCTCTGGACATTCCTCAGTTTCAACACATAGTTGCTACATCTAGGCTCTGAGTTTCCTGACCACTGCACAAATGCTCTGCTTCAGGAAGGATCTAGCTACTGCTGTGGCCTGCCACAGGTTGTGTTATGGCTGTTTATTTTAGCAGCTGTGGGCTTGATTCGGTATTAAGGACAGTATGTATGTAGCTGCTGATTTACAGATACTTTGGGTGGAGGGGAAGGCTCCTCAAATTGTATTGTTTTGGAAAGTCTCCAGTGTACTTCCAAGTATTCACAGAATTTCCAATAAAACTTTTACGTAAGCAACATTCTGCTTTTCTCCACATGTACCAACACGTCTGGGACAGTCCTGACCTCATGCTCTTCCTCCTCCAGGAAACAGAATGGTCAGAGAGCTGCCTGTCAGTGAGTGCAGGAGGGAGCAGGTCGCTGCCTCCATCAGAGAGGGTAAAATGGACTGGTACATTACACTTGGAGCAGTCAGTGAGAGCAGAGTGAGACCAACCTGCTGGAAGGATAGTGAGGGACAGACAGAACAGGTGCTGGGCTGGTTGCAAATGAAGGTGGGGGAACAGTCACAGTGTTTGACCCTGGTGACCTCCCCAGTGAATTCAGAAACCGAATTATCTAGATGTCCCATCCCCACTGAAATATTAAATTGTCCCTGAAGGAAAGGGGTTGGAAAAGGGGGAAAGCAAACCCCATCAGCAGAATTTGCATTGTAGTTTGTTGCTATTACATGCTTAAAGTGTGAGAATGTTTCAAGCTGATAGGAGAGTTAGACTAATAAGATATGGAAAGAATAACCATACTTAACAACTGTATTCTAGTATTGCCTAAAGTTAACACTATATAACACTATATAGCACATGATGCCATGTAAAGGGCCAATACCATCCCTTTAAAGGAAAGACAAGATGGTAAAAATGTAACAACTGCTGATTTAAGCAGCAGTGTAAAGGGTGTCTGGTTATTATAAAAAAGACAAAGTGGATAAATGGCAGGAATGGAAAAAAAAAAAAGACTGTGTATATTGGAAGCTTCTATGACAGGAAATATTCCAGCTTGGGGTACAAGGGTAACTATTAAAAGCAATATTTTCGTACATCTTCAGGAGATAACACAGTAAACTGGAATATCCCAGTGCAAACTTACTGATCAGTCTACAGTATATGCTTGTATATCTGTGTGTTTTTATGAGTGTCATTTCACACACTTACAAAGGAGACACTGTAGAGTGGGGGTGAGAGACAAATTGCTGGCAAACTCACAGAAACCATCCTCTAGGATCTGAGTTTTACTACAGGGCCTTCAGTATCCATCCTTTTCACCAAGTCACCAGTAAGACAAGGGACTGGAAAAAACATCAGCAAATATGGGAAAAAGCAAACAGTCACAGAAATAGGATTAATCACCAAAGTCAGGAACAATTAAATGCCCTCCCCTTATGAGCCTATTTTATGTGTTTATAAAAAGAAAAAAGTTCTCAGAATAATATCCATAAGGCCACAGGTAAGTACTCATGAAAACATGCCGAGCTGCAGTGGTGTTTACGCTGTGTTCAGTACTGCCCACGTGGTTGCACTTAGCACAGGTCCTGCCGATGCCAGATCCCTGTCACAGACAGATGCTCTGCAGCTCCTCTGAGGCCAGAGCAGGTGTTGCTACAGCACAGTGACAGGCAGGTCACTGTGACCAAGCCCAGAAACTGGACCAACTGCTGCACTCACAGGAGGTTTGTGATCTCGCTGGTAGTCGGCACATTAACCAGCATGGCCCCATTTACAGGGGCCAGTGTCAACATGGAGAACAAGAACTGGCAACACTGGGAAACCCTTAATTGGCTGGTTTATCAACAATAAAAAGTAAAAAGCAGCACATTTTTAGAAATGCAAGAGTTGACATCAGCATTAACACATCATCCTGACAAGGCCAGTAGCCAGCGCTCAGGCTACTGCCCGATGCTGATGCTTTTAGCTCCAGCACTCTCCACCCTACTCCTAATTCTTGGCTTCTAACAAAAAAGCTTACTGATGGAACCAGCAAATTAAGAGAGTCTAGAAAAAGATACTTAACTGTATATGATCAAGGGGTGGAGTGCAGTGGTCCTAACCAGACTACTGAACATTCAGGAGTTAGTAATCCACATATACTGAGATGAGAAGGTGCAGACCTGTGCTGCACATATTACCTGGCCACAGGATAAACTTAGCCAGCAAATATTAACTGGAAAGCCTGCAGGTGGCTTCCATTTGGCACCTACCTGGTGATACCACAGCCTGTGCAACTGCTCAGTTTGCCTCTTGGAAAGGGCAATCCTAGGCAGACTGTTCATCATGACAGGGAGACGGTAACATGGAAGTGCACCCTGTTCAGAAAAGAGCCAACTTTATAGTAATTCATTTTGTTTGAACTCTGTTTCCAGCCTGAGGCTCCTGCAAACTAGTACTTTTCCCCAGAGTTACTCACACAGGAGGCATTTCATACTCTCTTCCTCCCTCTCAGCATGGTTGTGGCTGGCACCATAGCCAGCCTTACTTCTGTTTCTTGTAGTTGTCCCACAGCTGCTGCCACTTGATAGACACACCTGGATCTGGGATTACATTTTGATTTTTATTGAAATACAAAAAGTGCAAACTGTGAAATATAAGATTGGTGCAGATTAGAAGAAAATAAACAGTGTGAACCGTGAAAACCCCAGGCTTGCACCTGACGAACATCAACAAAAAAAGAAGGCAGGGAACATCAGCAACAAAAGCAAAGCCAAAAATTTTGCACGGGAGCCCCCGTGCATAAAAGAAGAAACTGGGACCAAACTGGCCCTCAGCTCCCTCTCAAGTTAGCAAACATTGCCACAAGGCATCCAGACGGCCCCTAACCCCCTGCACCACCAACAAGCTCTGATGTCAATACATAAGCTTGGGCCAAGGAGTGATCAGAGGCCATTAAGACAGCAGGAGGCTTAGCAAAGAGGAGTGTTCTAGGTGCTAAAAGCAGAAGGTCGATGCAGAACAAGTACCCCCACAGGGAGAAATAGCTAACTGCTAACCTGAAAGAGCCAGGGAAGAGACCCTCGGGCAGCTTACAGCAAGGAGAAAACCAACACAGACCAGCAGCTACTCAGACACTGCCTCCCACCTATACAAGGCAGAGAAGCCCAGCCCAGCCAGCACCCTGCCTGCTGAGGAGGCTGACCAGGTAACTGGGAAGGAATTTAACCCTCTGGCCTTGGCAGGTGCAGGCTCTGGTGACCACCCACCCAGCACAGGCTGTAGGCAGGCCCAGGCCAGTTCCTTGCTCAAGTCACAGGAGGGATGTTTCAATACAAGGCATTCAGGAGAACAGATTGCAGAAGCAAAAGCAACTCTGGTTACTGTGCCTGCTCCAGAGCCCTCAGCAACTCCAGCACAAGGAGCAGCAGAGGAAAGGGGATATTTACACTGTGTCCCTTCCAGGATTTGCAAGCACTTTCCCACCATGAGCAGTAGCAGTTCCCTGAACACTCTCCAGTCTGCTCCCTGCAGGCACTGAACTGGAGCAGGCTTTTATCCCTGCCTGCAGGGGATGCACCAGTCTCTGTTTTGCTAAAAAAGGAAATGTTATTTCAAGAATTCACTAAAAAAAAAAAATTCCAAAAAACCCCAAAATAAACCACCAAACTCCAGCCAGAACTCAGACGCAGCAATCCCTGCTCTCCCTCTGGGCAGGAGCTACTCCAAGACTGCTCCCCTGGCTACTAGGCAGGGACCGGTCCTTGCTACTCCGCAGGGCTAGAACGTGACGCGTTCCCCAGGTAGCTCATAGGGCCAAGGCCTTATGCCCCAGCACACAGGCACTTTGATTCCAAGTTGCTGAGCTTGGGCTTGTTGGTTGCAGGGGAAGTTTGTTGGGTTTGCCTTTCCCATAGGGAGGTGGAGGGGAGGCCAGCATCAGCTGCCAGCACAGTCAGAGCACCAAATCTCCCTCTCCCCATACCAAAGCCTACACAGAGCAGGGTGCCTGCAGGGAAAGAGGGGCTGCACTGGGCTCCTTCAGCCTGCGCGGCCTTGCCCCTTAAACACTGGTGGGGCAAGTACACCTCTCTCCACACTGTCCACCCCAAGAGATTACTCCTCCACAGCAGGTCAGCCCTGCCAATTTACTGTAGGAGAGACCACAGGTGGAGCAGATTATCTCTACCTCCAAAACATTTATTTGGTTACTGCTGTGAATTGTTCAGGATGAAACAATTCATATCCTGGCCAAACAAGGAAGGCTCCTACTCTTGGAAAAGGGAGACTCAGCAGCCTTGTAGCATCCATAGGGCAAAATCTCCCACTATCTTTAACAGATCAGATCCAGTCCTATCCTAGAACATCTTGTTCTAGTCTTAGTAATGCTCAGTTTCTTGCTCACTGTTCCCACCCACATGCTGGTGTGCCTCCTCCAAGACAGCTGTGCTGCCTCGCAGAGCTGCCTATGTTTGCACCCATTCCCATTCCAGAGCTTAGCAAAAAGACCAATCTTCTTAATTCCTGTGACAGATGTCACTTATTTTGATTACAACAGGGTCACCAACCTTTGGTCAGTGTTTATAAGCAGGCTAAAATATTATGAAAAAGGAAATTCTGCTTAGCATCCAGTAGCTTTTTAAAAACCGGTTCTGCTTGGTCCAAAATATTTGTCCCTGAGGCCAGATGCAGCAGGGAGGGCTGGCCCAGGCATGCAGGGCACAAGATATAAAGATACATCACACCAGTGAAGTAAGGCTAGAAGCTCCCTCCTAAAACCCTCAGACCCAGGCTAAGGAGAGGGATCTCTTTTAGGTCAAGTAACAGCAATGCTGCAACCCAAAACCAACAGCGATGCCGTAACAGTATTGCAGCTGCTCTGGGATGGCACCAGGACCACCCCACTCAGCCTGCCTCGTGGGCTACCCAATCTCTCCAGCTGTGCCAAGGGCATACAGGATGCATCTGACCAGACTTTTATGATAGGATGGAAGGTATGAATTGAGGAGATGGGGCAAAGGCCCTTGGCATGGAACAGCTGTTCCCTCACAGCTTTGGCACGTGAGTGCTCAGCACCTGGGTAGAAATTCGTAATCCAGGCCTGGTGCACTCCAGGGTGAGGCTTGGCCCCAGTCCCTAGACCTTCCCTCAAGGCCATGCTCTCTGTTACACTATGCTGGGGAAACTTCTGCTCAGAAAGACATCTCAAGGTGGTCCGTGCCAGTCAGCACAGACACACAAAGCAGAGGGAGAAGAGGCCTTGTGCTGCTGCCAGGACAGGCCAGCAGGGCACTTGCTGCCTGCCATTCTGACTCGCCAGCTGTCCAAGGGCCCCAGCCAGCACCTCCACACAGCCAGGATGGAATTGCTGCTGGAGGGACAAACGTGCCTGAGCTGGGTAACTGTGGGAGGCATGTTATCCACTACACCCCAGCAAACACTGAATAGCATCTGGAGTGAGTGACCCCAGAGAGGTTGGGCTTTGGGCTAAATTCACCTTCATTGTTTTGGAGTCTGACAGGTAATAAAGCCCATTGCTGTGAACCTGTCCTTCACTTGCCTGCCAAAAGCTGGGGGTATAGAGTGGCGTTTGCAAGTGCAGGACGTGCTGCTACCTGAAGCACAAGGACTGCTGGCTCCCTTCCCTGCTGTAGGTGCCTCTGGTGAAAGGCAGGATGCACATTCAGTGCTGAGAGATGGCACTCGCAGTAAGAATGTCTCTGTCACAAAACCCAGCAAACCTGCCCTAGCCCAGACAGCCCAGCTGAGGCAGGGGAGGTGAGCTGGGGCTATGGGGAGCTTAACAAAAAAAACCTTTGCTGAGGAAGGGAGCAGGAGGGCAGAAAAACTGCATGTAAGGGAAGGAAGAAAGGAAGGCAGGTCATCTGATAGGGCAGCAGACTGGTGATGAGCCCTGGAGGAGCTGCACAGGTGGGTCAGGACTCCACTCTCAGCAGCTGGGAGACCAGCTCCCCTGCTCATCGGAGCTGCAGGTCTCCTGCACACTTACTTGCACACTCTCACCACCATCTCCACAGCCCTCGCTCTGCTCATCACCCAGAGAATCAGTGGTCCCTTTGAACTGGAGACAGCTTGGTCACAGCTCCAAGACAAAGAAGGGGGAAGGTGGGCACAGTGTGCTGGTGTGGGCTGGCCTGGATTCAGGCCTCCGTATCCTCAAACAGCTCCTTCTGGTGGTCCAGCAGGAATTTGGTAAAGGTATTGATGGGGTTGATGGCTTTTAGAGTGATGGCTACGTCTTTGGCCCACAGCAGATTGGGGCCAAACACAACTGCCAGGTTGGCATTTGTCATCTTGTTTCTGTCACTGTGAGCAGAGACCTATGTGGGAAGGAAAGAGACCATTGTCAATGCTACAGAACAGCACAGCAGCTGCCCTCTACTCTCCCCAAAGCCAGAGCTGACAGAATCCCAGGGCAAATAAGAGGAGAAAAGCTGACTGGGCCATATCATAACAACAGGACCGAGAGCACTGTTGGCCAATATCTCTGCAAGTCGAGATCATGATCTTCCCTCTTGCTAGAATAGCCTTACAGTGCCTTCCTTGGCAGCAGAAAGTTCTGTAAGGCAGATCTGAGACCCCTTTTCTACTCAGGTATTTTACAGTTCTACCTCCACTCTGGGGAGCTTTCAGCCTCCTTGGTACAGACCACACTGCACCTCTTAGGCTTAAGGCCCACCTGCACCTCTCATTGTTATGAGAAGCAACTGCTTAGGCTTAGTTCATCATGATCATTCTTGATCTTTGTATAAGAAGAATGTAAGGTAAAGAAACACAACTCCCTAGCTTTTTCTCTCAGAGGAAAAGAGAGCAGTGGTCAATAAGCTGATGCAGAGCACTGGCAACTGAACCAGAATAAAACTGCTCACTTTTGGAACACCTCACCTGCACCAGGAAGGCCGTCAGTAAACGAAGCACTTGGTAGTTTTCTTCTGGCAAAGTCTGGAGTGTTCTGCGAACAACATCCACACGATTCACCTCCTCCACACCTAAAAATCAGGAAAGACAGGGCAAGCGGGTCCATGAGGAATCCTCATACTCATCCTGATGAAAGCCCTGTTTGCAGTCACAGGGTATCCCAAGCATGCCCCTCCAAAGATATCTTTGCCCTTAGCCAGCGCAACATTCAGGGAACAGCACACTTGTTACAACTCACTCTGGAAGCTGACAACATGGCTGTAGAGGCCAAAAGTGAGGAGGGGCTCAGGTAGCTCCCTCAAGAAAGTCTTGAGAATCACAGCAGGGAGATGGACATCTTCATACTGCTGGAAATCTACAGGCACACCTGAGAAAGGAGAGCAGAGACTCAGTGCAGGACCTCCATCAAAAGATGGGACATGGTGGTCAGAGCCCAGAACTAGGGAAGGAGAATTTTAAAGAACACAGAAAACTGAAATACCATGTCTTCTAGCAGAGTGGAAAAATGTATCCCAAAGTCATATGCAAAGCAATGCTGAATCCAGCACTACCATCTTTAGGAGTCATCAAATGAAGCATGACCAAATTTCTTCCTGGTTATCTTCAGTCCCTCCAGTATAACCAGACTATTAAGATGGTATAGCCACCCCAAGAAACAGGGAAACTCAGGAATAGAAAAAGGACAGTAAGGGGAACATGAATGGGAAAGAATATGCTTTCCAAACAGCAGAAGTATCAGATGCTTCTCCCTTGCAGCTCAGGTCATACCCTGAGATGAGGCCTCGCCTACAGACCAATCAGAGAAGAAGTGGATCCATGATGGACTAGTTCCAACACAGTTCCAGTTGGACAGTACTAGTTAGGGAATGCATTTGGGCACTTACCCATGTTGTATTTTTGCTGGACCTCCTTGACAACCTGTGTATTTGCTGATCTCCGGAAAATTCCCTCTGTAGCAAGAGCTGCAAAGTGAGAAATAACAACCATGTCAAAGTCTCAAAAATGCTGGCCTTAACAATTATAAATCCATGGTGTGGGGCGTTCAGACAGATGTCAACATGTGCCTTTCTTAGAGTACAGCAATTCTTTCTGCTTCCACTACCAGACAGAGGATACAAGGAGCATTTTGCTACTCTTACACAAGTGAGAGTATGGACTCCTGGAAGAAAGAGGTCTCCTAAGCCCCACACAACCTCTCTTGAAGGCTAACTCAACTAGTTCAGGCTTTACACTTTATTCTAGACTGCTGTTCTTTATCTTAACACGTTCTTGATGGGAGTTCGGGTGGAGGAGAGGTCACTGAGGTGGAACTGAGAGGGGCTGCAGCTTTCCTCAAACACTTACCGTGCTCCTGCAAATGAGCAATAGTGTCTCTGACCACCAGAGGAACAGGAGACTGATCAGGGTTCTTCTCCCTGAGACTGTGGCAAGAGACAAAAGGTTACATATGGCTGGTCCTCCCTACCCTGCTTGCAGCCCCCAAGTCTTGAAGTTGCCCACACAAGCTGTACCACATAGGATCTTGCTATCCCAGTCCCTGGTTCAGCCATTATTCAGCCTTCTATCCTCTTCTACCCATCATGCTACATCATTCACTGGAGCAAGTATGAGCTCATTACTAGACCACAGCAACATTTTTCTATCTTCTGTAAAAATCACAGCCTGTAGGTGCCAGGGCAGAGGTTTTCCCAGAAGGCAAGGCTGCTAGTTATGAATCAGGTGAAAAGGGTTAAGCTTCTTTTTTCCTTCCCCATAGGAGCAAGGGCAGAAAGCAGGTGACTTGAGAGAAATAATTTTAGCCACCATACTCCTGTGATAGAAGATTTATCAACATGATGGCTATCAGGGAAAACCTAGTGATGCCAAGGTGTTCACTGCTACCCTTACATTCGATTGTCCAGGCCACTTGATAGCATGGAGCTGTTCCCCTTTCTCAGGCTACTAACAAGCTCAGGCACACAGCACCATGGGAAACACCATTTGGAAATGTATCGAAGCTGGGGAATGTGTTCTCAGATTGCCTCCCAGGTTCTGTCTGGCTACACAGTACTGGCTCCTCCTCATTCCTTGGGGAGGCAAAATCACACTCAAAGTTAAAAATACCTTCAACACTTACTCAGTGTCACTAGCCCTTGCCAGTGTCTGTGTTTGCCTGTGTCATCATGCAGGAATGGGGAGTGGGATTCAGTACAAGGGTGAATAGAAGTGCTTTTAAAATAGATATGGAAAAAAATTAAGAAACAGATCTGCAGTACTGCTCAATCAAAACAGCACAGTCCTAAACACACCTCCATCAGCCTCCTACAGACTTGTTTTGCTTAAAAGGAAGTTTCTAGTGCCATAAAGCTGTCCCCGTGGCCCTTATTTTGCTCTTCCCTTAGTGACCCTTAGCTGCAGAAACAATCTAACCAAGGGATCAAGCGGGTGGAACTGAACTGAGTCAGTCTGGATCTGGACATGAGCATGGAGTTCCTCAGGAAAATGATTAAAGTTTTGTAGGAAGTCTGAACTGTAAGAAATTTCACAACCATTTTTGTTGCTGTTCTGTTATAAATACAGTGACCTCTCATCAAGCAAGTCAGGGCAAAAGCAACACAGTGCACAGATACTCACTGCTGGAGCGAGACTCCAAACTGCTGGTTTGGCAGCGGTGGGCGTGGGGGCGTTGGCTTCTGGGGAACTTGTAAAGGTTTCTGCAGGGATCTCAGGTATTCATCATACCTGTAGCAAAACACAGCCTAGTAAAAAGCCACTCCACCTCTCAGAAAGTGCATGACCCCAGCACTGCACACCCACTGGTAAATGCTCCAGCCTAGTATGGTTGATTCTACCTATGCAAAAACAAAACAGGCACCTCTGGAGCATAAGAACAAATATCTGGTTGCCAGACAAAAAGCAAGGAGAAAGGAGTATCTATCCTGAACCAAGAGTTGGAGGAGCTGAGGATGACAGTGTGGGCAGGAGGCCAGGATAGCACTGCTTGTGATGAGACAGATGTGAATGTGTGTATGGGACAGGGAATCAATCTAGTAGGACTGAGATTATGGCAACTTTGGGAAGCCCCAAAGACAAGCTGAACTGTGCTGAGTGAGCTAAGTAGGTGTCCAGACACAGCAGATGCACACCATGAGCTCCAGGTCAATGCTGAAGTCAGCATCTTGCAGAAAGTCCCCAAGGGGTGAGTGGGAGAGGCAGGACTGGTGCTTCACTGGAGGAGGATTTTTAACCCAAAGACAGAACTGGGCACTGAGGCCAAGAACATACAGGAAGGAGCATGGAGAGAAACAATAGTCTTGAAAGCAATTTGTCACCACTCCCTCCAAAATCACTGCCTAAGTGGAACAATCTCTTCCTCCTCTTGCCACTCCTCCAAAACAGTTCCCTCTCACAGAGCCTGAAGCAAGTGGGAGACAGGCAGTATTCTCACTTCAGCACTTGGCTTGGGATTCCCAACTGTTCCAGCTTCACATACTCCTCCAACTCACTAAGGTAATTCACATAAAAAATCTTCCGTCCAAATTTAAAGCTGAAAAACAAGAGAAAGGTAGGTATGTGAGGAATCAGGAAATCCAGTAACAGAACTGATTTCTTACAGGAAAGGAGAGCAGGGGTCTGCAAGGGACATCTGGGGCAAAGGGGCAGGTTTGGCTGAGCAGCAGAGATATCACCCACACAGCTCTCCAACTCCACCTATTTTACCGGGAGATGCCAAGACTTTCCAAGTCACATTAGAGGCCCTAGCAGCAGCAGACTTCTTAAAACTCTGGATTTCTTCTTCCTACGTTCAGAAGAGTAGCCATGAGAAAGTTTTGCTCTCAATTATTTTACCAAGTCAGCAACACAATGAATTAAATGTAATTTGGACTGCTGCTCTCACTTCCTTTTCCATTATTAGCAGAGTCTGACCTTTTACTTCTACTTGGCTGGATAGAAAAGGAGCAGCACAGAGCTGCAAACTCTGTAGAGGTTCCTGAAGTGGTACTTCTAGTGTCTGAATATTTCTGAGCTCAGAAACAGGAGGAGATAGCATAAGGTGAGATGCTCCAGGGTAGGCTTGGCAGCCTGGGCTCATCTTGTGCCCAACTAAGAATTGCCCCATTGTTCCCCCATAGCGTGAGGATGTGGGTGAGCCTCCTATAGTGCTTCCTACCTGATCAGAGGCTTAAAGAGAATCAGCAGGGTCTTGATGAACATGGTTGGGTGCACAATATACAAGGCTTTGATGTTCTTCTTGTACCTGCCAAGAGAAGCCCAGTAACGATGAGCTGCACTTTAAGCATAGGAACCAACCTTTCCTCAAGATTAAGGCACCCTGGCTGCTCCATTCCTTTTGCACTGAGCCTCACCACTCCCCAGCACCCATGGCCTCTGCACTCCCATGCTTTGTAGCTGTGTCAGGCCACTCAGCAGCCTAAGGGCATGCTCTACTGTATTCCAAGATTAACCAAAAAGCATGAGCAGCCTCACCAGAAAGCAACAATTATACCATGGAGCTGATACACTTGCACCAGGTCCTGGTTTTGCTGCTTGCCTGTTGGCCTGAAGGATGTAACTACAGAAGGAGCTTTTTATCCCGTGATTCAGCCTGCATTGAACAACAATCCACCTCTATAAGCAGGGGATTAAGTGGTAGTAGCTACACAGGGAGCCTGGTGAAGATCATCCATGTTAGGCTACAGAACAGCACGTTATATCCTTGCTTGCTGCAGCCTTACTCACTTGCGATCAAACTCCCTGTAGGCATCCCGCAGCCAGCTCAGGGATGGCTTGTTCTCACTGGTCAGGCCATGGTGCAGGTACACCAGTGTGTAATCACTCTCCACATACTGGTCCAGTGTGAATTTCAGGTACCTGAGAAGAGACAACTGCTGAACTCACTTCATGCTCTGCTACAGAAAGCCTCTTCCTCTGCGACTCGTGTGCTGTAACAGAGGATTTGCATCCCCAGCAATGGAGGAGGACGTATCCAGCTAAAGGAGCTACTGCAGATAGACCTGGCCCCAGGAATGCAGCACCTAAGAATTAGGTCAGGTTTAAGAAGTTAACAGCAGCCTACTAAGACATTACTCACCCCAGCAGTTTCACGTGGTCTAGCTGATGACTTGGGGGCATCCGGCAGGCACTGAACAAAACTACTTTTCTTCCATATTTGTCATCACCTGCAGATGAAATGCCAGAGATTACATGGAGTTTAAGGACTGCATTGTGGTCTTGGCAGCAAGGGGTAAAGAAAGAATGAGAAACCACCATAACAAGGCAGAGGCTGGTTTGCCACAGCTGCCAACAAAGATAAACCTGATTTTCAGCAGTTACATGGGACTAGTATGGAAGCAGAAATCTGGACACCAAGGGCCTGGTAAGTCAACAATGAGAATGGAGAACAGAATCCTTGATCCAACCCTGGAAGGACAGAAACACTGGAAGCCAGGATGCCTCGGGGCACACAGAGATGGAGGCAAGTACAAAGCAGACTGCCCAGAGCATTAATTCTGCAAAACTGTCCCTGGGCACTGCTCCTGATGCACACATCCAGCAAGGCACAGGGAAAACTGCCCCTCACAGGCACAATAACCACTTCTTCCATCCTGCACATAGGCCCAGATTAACTGCTTAGAGTCTGGTGCATCTGTTTCTTGCTTCACCTCAAGCTTAGTCCTGCACACAAAATACAGGCCATTTCATACCCTGGAAACCAAGAAATTCCTAGAAAAAGAGAGTCCCAGTCACATCCTAGAGATGAGGAACAAGCACCATCATAAGGCTCTTCTACAGATGGACCAAGTAGAGCTGCTGGATTCTCCAAGGGGACTGTAAACTCTTCATTGCTTCCTAGACTTTTCCATCCACAGAGATATTTTCCCAGCCTGAGCCAGAAGAAGCTGCAAAGTGTGGCACAACAAAGCATTCTTTGTAAAAAACAAGCAGAAAACAGTCTCCATCACATTGGAGCCAATTAACCAAAAAGCACTCTCATCTCAAGGAGGACACTCCAAGCCACCACTTGAGGCCTCAGACAACAAGCCAAGTTTTCTCCAAGACAAGCCCTAAACATCAGTGGACTTCTACCAGCAGAGATCTTGGTCCCATGAACAAAACCCAAGCAGATGCGCATGGCCAAGCTTAGCAGACGTACCAGGGGCATTAGAGATAAGTAAGAACATACAGAGTTTGAGGGAAAGTCTGATTCTCTCCCAGACTCAACACCCAATCCATTTCCACAAGGGTGACTTCCTTTTTAGCAGCAGTGGAGATGAACTGGTTCCTTTAGAGTGAAGGGTTAAAGACTAAAGTCATCCCATCTTTTTAGCTACTCACCCTGCTCTGAAAGCTGTATTTTCTTGTCTGCAAACAGAGTGGAACAGTGGAAGGAGCTGTTGAGGTTATACTCAACAACATACTCCTTCCTTCCCTATGGCACAACTATCTCATACAGACCACAGCACAGAAAAGCAGCAAGGATCGATATTTATGCAGGCCAGACCTTCAATACATCATTCCTCTCAAAATAAATCCTTTTTCCCATGTGGATTTACAATATGCAGAGCATGCAGCCATTTTCTTACCTTTGCACGGGCTCTGGCTCTCAACTACTGCTTGGCTACATTTGCCGTTGAGCAACTGAACAGCAAAGCTTATTTCTGGGAACACTGCCTGTTAGTAACAGGTGAGCACTTGGTACGGCAAATTGCAGCCAGAGAACTCACACATACCAGCCATGACATTAAGATGCTGTTAACCCTCTTTTACCCCCATCTTGGCCAGGAGAACAGATTCTCTTGTTACTTGTTCACTTTTATTTTCTCCTCACAAGCCCCATGGTCAAGTAACTCACCAGACAACACAAGAGACAGAATTTCCCAATGCACACAGCCAGGAATTCTACAAAAGCTAAGGACACTGAGGCAGCACTAGGTACAGACCAGGGAAGGGGTGGCATAGGCCATCACATTGACAGACACATGCGGAGATAAGGGGCAATTACGGAGGACGCATGACCCAGAATGCAGGACTAGGAGAGAGTGATGCAAGGCTCATCTGGAACAACCAGATACAGTCACAGCCAGGCCACAAGACCAACATCACATTGCATATCCCATGGCAGCCCACTCTCTGCCTAGCCCAGAGTTTCTTGGTAGCTTGCTACGAGCTTTAGGGCCGGGTCTAATGTACTTAAGTTGTCTATAAAGCTAAGTGCGGGCTACAAAGTCCTGGGCAAGGAATATGGCATATTGTGACTCTTCCCATCGGTCTTGAGCAACTTGTATGTCTCTGTCTGGGAGACAGAGGGCTCTGCCTGCACAGAGCACCAAGAAGATAGTAACATTTGAGAATCTGTTGAGTTTTATAGTGATGAAAGAGAACGGTCAGAAAGACAACAGATCTTTGCAGATCATAGCTCTATGCTAAATTCAGAACAGGTGCTATCTTCAGTCAACTGAGAGGCCGCATTTCACACCAGAGTGGATGGTCTGAGGGCAAAAGCAGACTTGATCAAGGCAGGCCTTTGTAGCATTCAGTACAGCACCATGTTCATGCCACGTTGTGGGTGGCCACACACTCATCTCAGGCTCCTGGGCACTGATTTCCAGACCTGACAAGTCACAAGTCAGGAACCACTTAGCTTAAAAAGCTTTCTCTGGAATTGCATAAAAGTTTATGGCAGGGCCTATGCAAAGTCAAGAATTTTGTTCCTTATATAGGCTTGGTGAAAAGGTCTGAGATTGCTGGTAAAGAATAAACAGACAATCCCTGATTCTGCCAAAGGGGAGATGGCATGTTTCCCCTGGACAATTTCCAGGACCAAGTACATCAAAAGATAATCTATAGTCCCCTAGATGACTGAAAAAGGAGTGGCCTGTTTTGCCTTTCAAATCAGAATGAATTTATGTATGAGACCTACAAAGCAACCAGCATGCCTGCTACCGAGTTCTGGGTTTTGTTCCAGTTTCATCACACTGAGCTCAGCCCATCAACAGAGAAACTTTCAAAGCAACCAACTGCCAATCTTGTTTTCACTTGACATGTATCTGATCAGTCTGGTTCCTCCAGACATGACAAAATTCAAAATTCAGCATCAAAGCTGAACAATCAGTTCTTCCAGTTTATAAACAAGAACCTAAACCCCATTCCATGCATTCTTGGCTGTTGAAGGAAACTGCCTGCAGGTGGCCTCTCTGCCTCCTACAGAATAGACTCTTATCGGGTTTGATCTTTCCCAGATGCTCCATCCCTTGTACTATTTCTTTCCTGTTTGCAATATTAATCTTAGGTATCTAGGTTTTCACCCCTTGTTTGCAATTGCAAATAGCTCAAGTTTCCATTAAACACAACCACAGACCATGAAGTAATCACTCAGCTTCTCAGGCTCCTACCTCCTACCTTTCCCAGATGAGAAATGCTCAATAGTTAACAACAAAACAACAGAGAAGCAACTCTACACCATTAGTTTTCACAGAGCGTCCCAACTTTGTAATATTTCCAATCTACACTGGAATTAAACTACCTTTCTGTAGGATGCAATGCAGATTATTTTTCTTTTAACAACAGAGAGCAAGACAGTAGCCAATATAAAAAGCCTCTCCAGACAAGACATCTGCTCATCTAAAGAGATATTAACTTGCAGCACTGGTGGACATGCTAATTCTTCTGAACATTGTTATGGTGTTTTAGAGGCCCCAAATCAGTTTTTCCTCTTGCTCGAACAGCAGCATTTCCAGGGCACTTCTGAGACAAGGGGCAAGGAAAATCACTGCTATGTTTCCAAGCCATCAGTGCAGGGCCAAACTTCTAAAAGGACCAAAGTTTAAACACTGAGGCTAATATTTCATGTTGACACCAGCAGCAATAAAACGCGTCACAGCAGAAATTCAAATCAAGACAGCAGTACTGTCCCAGGACAGGACTCTATTAAATGAATCCTCACAGCAAATGCAGAAAACACATTCTTGGCTTGCAATCCTGTTATGTATTTCTAGGTAAATAGAAATATATCCGTTATACATCCTGAAATGTATCCGTTAGCCTTTATGCCATGACTGGAGACAGCTTAACTGCTGTACAGAGACCCTGCTCACTCCAACCTTCATCAGGTAATCTCAGTTCTGAGTGCCCACTTTGATGAGAGATTCAAATAGCCTGGTACTTGGATGCTGAGAGGATGTAGATGGATAAAACTTGCCACTAAAAGCTTGTGTGACTGGTAAAACAGCAAAGTTAACAGAGTTCAGGGTCAAGGAGAGGGCATCACTACAGAATACTGGAACTTTGCTAAACAAGTTTCACAAAGCTTAAGATGTTTATCAGAGCCACTGTCGGTAAAAAACATGTCTAATGTAATTTAGGTTCCTGCCAAGCTTATGGCACAGCTGGGAAATGTTTAAGTATAGTAGATTTTAGTTGCCTATTGAATTCCAGAGTGGATTTAGCCCTGCAGGAAAAGAAGGTAAGGAGCTCAAAGTACAAGTATTTTAGTACGACATCTTCCACCTAGATATTCCCAATATCCAAATTCACTGCCAGAATCAGAAAGCCTTACCAAGTGAATATAGCTTTAACTTGACAAAAAAGTGTATTAGAGTGTCAGACTAAAGAATGCAAAATGGGAGGATGTTTGAGAGCATAGAAAATGTGGGAGAAGAGTCCAAATAATGAGGAAGTGAGAATCAGCATTTCCATGGACTGTGTGAAGGTCTTAGCAGAAAGAATTTCACACCAAAAGAAGTTTTTATCTACATTGAGAAGCATGAAAGCACCAGCAGCCAAATTCTTAAGGCTTAGGACTGAAGTCCGGAGAGTATTAACAAATGCTCAGCAAGCACAGGGCAGTCTAGCACAGCTTCGGGTGAACAAATTACCAAAACACAACATCTCTGCAGCCAAATGGAGAAGAAATAGATAACAGTTGCTTTCAGATGGAGAATCCAGTTTAAGTGCCAGCTGCTTAGCACATGAGTGCAGCAGCACATCATGTGAAGGAATAGGAAGCAATCCTATGATAAACTTCCAAAGCACACATGATAACAAGGTAAACTGGAGTTCAAACTGAACTGGTCCAAGCAGGCCACCACCAAGACAGGAGAGGAACAGGATTTGCACTAAGGCCCATGAGCCCCAAAGTGCCCAAAGTAAAGCACACATGCCAAATTTGGCTCAGATCATTCTGCTGTGCCCGAGGCAGAGGTGCAGCCCTCAGACGACAATTTTGTGCAGCCTTTGGACTCCTGAGAAGTTGTCAGTGCAGCCTAAGGCTGAGCAAAGTTTGGGCTCCCCTGAGACAGTCCAGCTACAGGCCATGGTCATGCTAAAGGAATACCATGATCTACAGAACCGAATGTTAATGCCACAAAAAATCTACCTACCTGGTTGGGCCCCATCAAGTGCACCCTGGTCTGGAGGAACAGAAAAAAAGTTATAGCAAGCCAAGCTTTGCACCCTTTCCCAGAAAGAAATCTTGAGTGTAAAGTCTCAGAGACTAGCCAGATTGCCACTGGGATGCATTTACTTGCTGTCTTGCAGCAGACAACCTCCTTCCATTTCATCTTTCCCCAAAGCAACCTAACCTAACAGTTAGAAGCAATAACAGCAATCCCTGATTCCCAAATCTTTTTCTTGAATTTGCAACTAATTCTTACAATCAGAGCCAAATTTCTGGCCCTTACTGTTACACTTCCCCTGCCACCAAAACAGCAGCTGCTGTACTGCCCCTTTTAAAAGGGTTAATTGCAATTAATTCTGAATGTCAAGTCCTCTGAACAACTTCAGAAGCATACAGAGAACAGCATCATACCATATGAATACCACATCCCACAGACTGTTTTGCAAGAAGCTAAATTTCACTAATAACCTGAAGATGGGACGATTTATATCTTAACACACTCACAGCTTTAAAAAAAAAAAAAAAAAAAAAAAAAAGGTAGATTCTGAACAACAAAATAAACTGCCAATTAGAAAGAAAAAAAAAAGAGGAAAAAAAGGTTTCTCTGGGCAGGGAGGAGTCTACAAAGGCATTTATTGTCACACCCAGCCCCTTTCCATCTCCCACAGCTATATACTCAACTGACCCACATGGGCCTACCAAGACAAGAGCCTGACTAGAGCAGGGCTCTAGGAAGAAATTCTCCATTCCCTCACTCTCCCTTAGAAACTTAAAATTCCTTAGATACTCTCCCTTCCCTTGATCTTGCAATTAAAATGTGGTACACAAGCTGGGCTTGCTTTGGATGGGCTCCATTCTACAGAGGCAACTCATAGTTTTATATCATACAAATATTCTTAAACAAAACAAAACAAATAAACAAACAAAAGGTCAAAGCCAGAAACTACATCCAAAAGCAGCAGAAATGCAGGCAGCCTGTATTAATGGAGCCAGTAATCATGTACCGTACTGGAAGGGACAAGGACCCTTGTTATCCTTTGCTGAGTCCATTAACCACCAAAGACACTGCAACACACCTTCAACACTAGTTCAGTCTGCCACTTCTACCTTTGCCAGCCTAGAGAAACAACAGCTACTGTTGCTCCAAGATTGATTTTACCACCCCACGTCAATCACCAACAGCAAATCATCAGCACTAGTTACAGCTTTGGCACCTGTAGCCAACAGCCAGCCAAAGTGGTTTTTTGGGTAGGTTTGGTACCAGATTCACCACTGAAAATATATTCACTGCTGAAATTGCATTTCAATCTAGTAACATGCAAGAAGGTACACTCCCAGCTCTCCACCTTGTTTTCCCACTCCAATCATAGGCCTTACACCAGCATTACATGTTACCTGCCCAGGCAGACTGTCGATTAATGGTGTGACACACCAGATTTCCCACAAAAAGATGCAGAAATATGCTCTGAGGTTCAGCAAAGCTTTGAAATCACTGGAGTAAATAGTGATGGCCTCTTTCCTGAACACTGATACACCAACTTGTAGACTCCCACGGCAGTGAGAAATTCATATGCCATTCACATGTTAAGCCACAGTTTACTTATCCCAAAAGAAAGCAAGCCAGTCATTGTGTAAAACGGGAATGCTGATGAACCTCATAGCCATAGCTTTGTATTTGTATTGACCACAAAGAAGAGACCAGTATTTCAGATGGGGCAGCAGAATGAGGAAGGAATACACTGCCAGAGCTGTTATGAGCCCTGCTCTTCCCATCCAGCCTGTGTTTCTTCCAAATGCTGTGATGTGAACAAGGAAAAAAACCACACTTTGCTGAAGTGATTTGTGCAGTGAAATCGAACCTCCTCTGTTCACCCCATGTGTAAAGATGAATTTCACTGTTACAATGCTCACAAAAAGAGGCACTCAAAGTTAAGATGAGCAAAACCATACAGAGACCCTCTCCAGAGCCTGTGTAAAACACTCCTGAAACACCCACTTTAAGGCAAGTCTGAAAGGATCAGCAGAGCACCACCTTCTTCCTTCAGAAAAGTATTGAATCCCAAATCAAAAGGTTTCTTAAAACTAAAATATTCTGATTCCCAACAATACTCCAGTTCTGAGTACTCCCTCAGAACTGTGGCCTGGATGCCTTTTGTTGTCATCTTCCTGTAACACACCACTGCATGGGACAGCAACAACATGCCTGCTCTTTCCCCAAGGACAGCCTCTTCCAGCAAGATCCCAGTCCCCAGAAGAGACAGGGACATAGGGCACAAAGGAGAGTCTCCATGAAGCTGCTGCACTATTTTTAAGTGAAAAACAAAACCAAAAACTTATTTCCTAACATATCCTGCAAAATGTTTTTCTCTACTCTTTCCCCTCTTTAGGCCAGAGAGTCTAAAGGATATTCAAATCCAACCCGCCCTGAATTGAATCAGAAATTAAGGTCAGCTAGAAAATGAGCGTGCTAACTTTTTGTCATCAAAACTGTGCTTTCAATAAGTTATTAACATCATGCACCCATCCCACAAGGAGCAATTATTTTTCTGACCACACAGGATAACCCTGGGATCATGGAATTCAGCCCGAGGATGGGAACCAGCCTTTTGCTTTTGTCTCAAAATAGCATCATCATCCCAGAATATATTTCAGGGTAGGCAGGAACAGAGTTAGCCATATGTTTTCTGCTCTGAAGTGCAGAACAGGGAAGGACATGGGACAGAAAGATAATAAATCAGTAGAATGGATAAAATTCCCCTTGATCTGCTGCTATTTGGTAATATTTACAAAAGAACCAGGATGGAGCTATTTTGTTTCAGGCTCAGCATGGCCACTGTTCATTGTACCCGAAGGTGCTGAGCACCACAACCTGTCAGCAGAGCCAGACCCAAACAGTTTCATATTAATCGCCCAGAGAGATTTTTATTCTCCAGGCTATTTCTAATAGGATTTTTCCAGATTTTCCCAGATTGTTTGCCTACAACAACAGCCCAGAGAAAACTACTCTGTCTGATTCTCTTAACAGTTAAAATTATTAATTATTGACCAAAAAAACTGAACAGCTCCACACCAGAGTTCCGATTACAACTCTGGCCCCTTTGATCAACTTCATAAATCCTCCTTCCAGGAGATGAGACACCAGCAAGTCTCAAAACTATGTGACAGCAAATCCTCCCTTCTGGAGCTGTGCTCCTCGCTCTCCCAGTGCCAAGAAAGGAATCACACCGCACTCAGTGTGTGGGACCATCACATGCTTTCAGATCCATCAGCTACTGGTGAAAACTGGCCAGCAACTGCCAAAAACCAAAGCTTCTCAGAGCTGCTTCTGCACCGTGCAGAGACACTGCAGGGACAAAGACCTCACTAGAAATACAGATTTAAACCACGACAGGAAAAAGATCCCTTTCAGAATGCAGGCACAGCTCCCAGTCAGCCACTGTACCACCCTGAAGTCTTTTCAGGAAGCTAGATAATTCATTTCCTATCCTAGATGGTGTCAAATGGCTACTTTCCAACAGCCACTCAGACACACCTCCACTCTCCATTCAGAGAGCTTCTGAAAAAAAAATAAATCATGCTACCTTGGAACAGAAATCCTGCAGAAACAGTGGGGCTTATGTCAGGAGGCAGCACACAAAGCATATCCTTGGATTGGGCTGACATTCCAGTCTTATCAATGTCTCTGATCTAAACTCTCTGCTAAACATTTTGTCTGAAGCAAACATCAGTATCATTCAACTCACTCATTCCCAGAGTCCTGAAACACCAGTCACCTCTGCCATTTGCACTCCAAGTATTCTATCACTGAAATGGTGGGTTCCACACATCTGTCCCTTCCCAGTTTCAGCAGCAGGGACACCAGGATGCAGATCCCTATAAAGATCAGACTGCAGATCGCAGTCCTGAAACTCCAGTCCCATGAAAAAGTAGATTAGTAGTACATTTACAAATGAAAGCACTTGTGGCAAATCTAAGACATAATGGCCCAAATGTTAAACACCTGACCTATCAACCTGAGCAGGAGACAAAAGTCAACAAAATTTAGAGTCTGCCATTAAAATTTTGTTCCACAAAAGATGAAACATGAGAGATTATGAGAAAGAAAACTCATTCTAGAAAACTGCCCAGAAAAGAATGACATCAGGACAACTCCTACCAAAGTGCCTGAGACTCTTCCCTTTGTGGTCAAACGTGCTGCAGAACAACCCTGAATTAGGAGGACTCCAGCCTGTGCCTCTGCTTCACTGCAAGCTCCCACGTGGGGCAGGGACTGAGGCACAGAGAAATGCCAATAGGAAGGGTAGGAGGTGGTAGTGGCAGGGGTAGGAGGTGGCTATAGATAATCATGGACAAAGTAGGAATCAGGTTGAAAAGGTGGGTTTTTTTGTTTGTTTCTTTTTTAAACAAGGAACACAAGATAAACTGGGCTTACCCTTCCCTCAGACTTACCACAGCAACCTAACAAATACTCCAAAACTCTTTCTTATGGAGGTCCCAGCAGTAAATCACCAGGGGTTAGCATATATAGAATAATATGGACAAGACAACAACAGACAAAATCCAAATGCTTGTGATGCTGAATGATCAGGTGAAACAAGGGCCTATTCCCCCTATTTCAGATTTCTGTAAGTTCTGTTTCTGGACAGAATGGCAAACTCTGACTGTTCAGATGTGAGAGTTGCCACCTATTGTGGATTACTCAGTCAGTTGAGGATATCACAGCTGTATTGCTTAACTAGGTAATTTCTGTGGCACTATCATGCAAAAACTACGTTTGTGCTCAGGATAGAGTCAAGGGCCACATCTAATACAATTCAGCAAAAGAAACTGACTCCCGCTCATACCATAATCAAGACAGAAAAGCCAAAAAGGAATGCAAGTTTAACTGAGGTCAAAGAAAATGACACATATCACAACATTCAAGAAGTTTGGTGCTCCTTCCGTTTACAGTGCCACCTGTCATTGCCACGTGGGCCTGACAAACAGCAAATATCCACAGAGCCCATTAGAAAGGCCCTCCCTCAGCCTGGCTGCAAAGACATCTAAAGGAGAAAACAAAGACCCCTACCTGCTACTTCCACAATGTGGTGCCTGGCAATATCATAGTAGGGATCATCCCATTGCAGGTGAGTGACGGGCTCAGGGGAGCCTTTGGAGTCCTCTGCACAAAACACAAGGTACAAGCAATTAGAGGAAGAATCTGGAGCACCTTGGTGAGGGGTACAAAAAGGATAAGAGGTATGAGAAAAAACGGCAGTTTTACATGGGAGGGACTATGTATGCACCTGTATACCTTGAAAATCCACTTCTGAAATTCTGAGTGGACAAGAGCAGCAATGACTTCAGAAGAGTCCTAGCAGTTCTATGAGGTCCATACGTGTCCCTCAGACTCTCTCAAATGAGTGTTCAGATATGTCACAAATGTCCACAAAGACAAACCCGAGGACACTGAGGACACCATCACGGCTTTTTAGAGAAGAAGGATCATAACACAGTCCCTCAATGGATGGCCATCCTGTATGCCCTTGAGCTAATTTCCCTGACCTCTTTGGGCAGCAGTTCATAGCACAGGATTTTAGAGCAACAACTCAGATCTCCAGCCCCACTTCCCACACAGAAGTTCGAGACCCTTCCAGTCCAGAAGGCCAAACTATCCTTCAAGAGGATAACAGAGGACACTCAAGGACTTACAGCTCATCTGTACTGTCAGCACCAAAATGTAGTCAGGCACAGAACTGAGAAGAGTATATTTGCATCAGCTGGCTCTGCACTTTTTAGTGCTGTTCAGTACCAAAGCTGATTCACTGGGGTGTGGTGCAAGTTTAATGTGTCTATAAAGCTTTTAAATGGAGCCGGGGCTCTCTGTATATGTAGATATGACCACAATGCTGCAGGACAAATAATTGCTTTTTGGCCAAAATCCAGACCCCAAACAAGCAGGATACTTACCGGATTTGGGAAAAGCAGGGGCTTCATCTGCTGGCCAGTTATCATCTATGGAAGCCAGTTTGAGCTGGCTGAGGGACTGGTTGGTATCATCCAAGTTCAGGTCATCCTGAAGCTCCGAGAGTGGGTCTGTAGCCATGGTCCCCAAATACCACAGTTTATTTTGCAGTGCCTAGAACAAGGACTGCAAAGAATGTTAGGTGAGAGACAGAGATCACAAATCTACCTCCTCACAGAGGCTCTTCCTCTTCTTACTGATTTTCCCCAAATACTTCCTTATCTTTATATCCAGGAATTCCTCCTCCAAGCCAGGAGCACTGACATCTATCAGATTATTTCATGACAATTGCTATCAAAAGGCCATCAGGAGCGGTACCAACCCTCTCAGGGAGTCTCTGCTTGCCCACAGCCCTGTAAAGAGCAGTTTCTCTCCTGAAACAGAAGCAGCACCAAGACGCTGAGGAAGGCGACAGGCTACACCAGCCCCTGCCTGACACACTCACTGTACCAGCTCTGAGCTCCCCCTCCCTCCGAAGGGCTGGCACAAAGCCCAGCTGTTTCCACAGTTGGCCCAGTGCTGGAAGCTTTCCCAGGAATCGCTCCCCCTCCTTCTACCCGTAAGGGAAAGACAGAGCTCTCAACAACACTGAAGTGGGTGCTTCAGCGTACTGGGATCTGAACACAGAAGTGAACAGCTTCTTAAAACAGGATTTTGTAGGCTGAGTTAGTAAGACATGGAGAACAATACATACACAACCCTCATCTCCTTTCAGCATCACCCAGTAAATCCTTTTTCCTACATGATAGCAAGCAGCAAGGAATCGTCTCTTTCATTTAAAGCCGTACTGCCAGAATTAGTATTTTTCACCAAGCATGCCATAATACTGAGGAGACCAAAGAATTAAGAGGGTCCAAGAAACAGAAACCTCAATGCATTTGCTGTTTGCAAATATTTCTCACTCTCACCTGGAGCAGAAGATGAGTCAAAGCCAGAACTGAACTAGTATAGCATACAGCACCTCCTAAGGGAACCAATTCTTAGGGACAACCCTGGGGAAACAGCTGTTATCCTCTGAAGTCAGGGTCCTGGAAGTAAGGAAACATTGGAAAGGACAACTTTGAAGATCTGGATTGCTCACACAGACCACATGGACACTAATTCAGTGGTCAACAAGCACCAAGCCAAGCGGAACTGTAGAAAAACCAAATGACACCTTGCACTCGCAAGAGTCTCTGTAACACTGTTTCACAGAGAGGCTTGTGCTTATTTCGTGTTATGAGGAGACCAAAGGGTTCAAAGATGATCTGAGGAGGCACAATGCCTTTGTGTGAAAAGTATATTCAGAGTAAAGCTATTTTCTTTAGCAGAACTGAGAGGGGGCAATGATGTTTTGCATCCTCCATTCCTAGAGTTTGAATGTGTCTCTTTATCCAAAGAAAACAATGCAACAGTTACTCAGATGTAAGCACAGAGGACAAAACCTGTGAGAGACTGAGCACTTGAAAGTGTCACATCCATGCTCAGGTCTGTACTTGTGACCAAGCTTGGGGATGCGTTTTAATGAGCACAGGAAATTGGATATTCAGTGTTTGCCCTTTTCCTCTGGATCACTCCAAGCTTATTACTTCCTGTCCTCCCTTGTCTGCTACTCACCAGATTTCAACTAGTTTTCACCTCTTTGGGGCGCCAAAAGGGCTGGGAGCTATTGCTAATCAAATGCAATGTTTCCCAAATTATGAAAGAGCGTGACATATACTGGCTGTGGACCACCAAAACACCACATCAGACACACAGGGCCTGACCACTGCAGCCAAGCAAAGACACAAGCAAAATTATTCCCTGCCCTACAGTGAGGGCTGAAAGAGCTGCCTGACCTTCTCTGATCTCGACGGGACAAGGAGTAAGAAATCAGGTTCCCTTCCACCGTGAGCTCATGCTGGAACCATGCAGCAGTGGAGCCAAGGGACAAGGACTCCCCACCCCTGGCAGCTGATCTGATTTCTATGGTAACAGCAGGCACTGACTCCTATTACTCAGCGAGCTTAAAGCATTTCTCAGGACAGCTCAGCAGCCCCAAAAGCTCAGCACCCCATGCTGAGCAAGCATCCATGCCCCATCAGGACAGCCTCTTGGCATTCCCAGCTCCCAGGGACTTCCTGGCCCTGGTGGGGACAGAAGATCCGAGTTCAACTGCTGCCATGTATTGAGATGCCTTTCCTGTGAGACTCTTGGCGATGCCCAGTAGCAACCCCATCCCCAAAGCAAGGTCCTGAAACGCTTAGGGACCAAATCTAAATCCTCCCACAGAGTAGTGATGGTGCTGCCATAGGGCCAGCAAGATGCCAAGTGTGCTCACTTTTCCCTACATGGATCACCACTTGGCTTTACAGTCAACCTGCAGCACCTGATCAGAGGCAGAAGAGTTGGTTATTAAACTGGGGGATTTCCCCTGCAGCGTAAAATTACTCTTAGTGTGGTACCATGTGGAAGAAGGAAGTCATTAGTAGTCTACACACTGGAAAAAGCCCAGTGGATAGTGCTCTCGCCTAAACCTTCCTTAACCCTTGGAAAGACAAAGCATTTCAACAGGTTTAACTCAATTTAAGAACCTCACTTGTTTTACATAAATGTCATGACCAGATGCAAGTGGTACAGCCTGTATAGTAAATCATAAGGTAAGAGAAATTACATACCTAGCTTTAAAAAGTGAAAACTCTAATCAAACATTTAAAAACTAAAGAATCACATTTGGTGTCAGAAGCATTTATTGATTGCCAGGCTCTAAAGAGCCAACTGTTTCTTTTTTACAAACATTTAAGTATATGTTCTGCATATACACTGCAAATGAACTCTTGCTTTCTAGTAAAAATTAACTTTCTTGGTAACAGAGATGTGCTGGAGAACAGCATCTTCTGCTAAAGGAGAGAAAACTCAGCCACTTAAAATACAATTTTCACACAAATTCTGATCTAGAGATTCCTTATAAAAGATCCCACCAGAATTTACCTAGGGAAGACAGTTCACTTATATCTAGAAAGTCTTGGTAACCGCTGTTCATGTAAACTATTTTTTTCTGCAATTTCAGTATCACTACTTTTCCACCACTTATTTTTAACCTGCACTTGCTTGGTAGTTTCCTTTTCCTGTTTTTCTTTCAGATGTACTATCAATTCAGAAGGAAATCTACACTTCAAAATATGTCCATGCATACATTACCACACCCTGGACCTGTACTTACACTGAAGAATTACAAAAGCCAAGTGATCTCTTCTGTGCCAATGAACAAGCAATGCTCAGATCCAGAGCAATCCCAGTTCTGGAATTATTATTCGGCCTCTGCTGCCATCCACACCTCCTCCCAGTTTCGTTCATTTGCACAAATGTCTGTTTTTCTGTACACACCAATCAAGTTTCCTTTACTTTGCCAGTGTTAAAATGAAGCACATTGCAAGAAAGGGGAGCAGTTACTCAGCAGCGGACTATCGGAAGTACTCACGTGAATGAGCTCCAGAACCAAGACTCAACTAAAAAGTCCAGTCCAAGCCTCCCTTCACATCAGGACTGATGATACCACTGAGAGCATCACTACCCTGAAAGACTCTAAGGGTCAGGAGCCAGACCAGCTTTGTCTGCCTCACTGTGACCAGACACCTCAGCACAGACACACTATTGCTCAGGGAACCTCTTTAGTCCCGCATTATTGTATCAGCTTTTTAACCGAGCAACCTTCCTTCCCCAGTCGTCCCAATCTGTCTGCTGAAGGCCACCTCCGTTCCACTGGAAATACATCCCAGCTAGCAGTCGACCTCCCGCTAGTGGTTCTCTGCACGGTCTGAGAGCAAAAGCGCTGAGCTCTCCAAGTGTCCCCTCTGGAGCTGCAGCACAAAGTACAGAGGCTGCTCTCAAGCGCCCTGCCGAACCCACCCATCACACAGGGTGAGCAAGTGAGCCAGCGGGGCACACACAGCCCTGCGAGGCCTGCGCCTCCCTTCATCATCATCACCGCCTCCACCACACATCTGCTCTCTCCCATTCCCTTCGACTGAGCTCCTGGGAGCGCCCTGACCCAACCGACACGACTCACAGATGTGCTGTTTACACTGTAAAAACAAAGCCCCAAGCTCCCCTACCGCACGCCAGCTGCCCGGGGGCGGGACGTGTACCAGCCCGGGCTGCTGGGCACCGCGGGGACGGCAGCCACCCCAGCCCCGCCGGGACGGCACCAGCTACAGCACGGCCCGGTGGCCCCGCTCCGGCGGCGCCTGCAGCGCCAGCACCGAGCAGAGACCAGCGCCCGCGGGCTCCCGCACCCGGCTCTCCCCGCCCGCCTGCCGGCGGCGCTTCACCAGCCGCGCTCTCCCCGCCGGGCGGTCACGGCGGGCGAACCGCCCCGCACCGCCCGGGCGGAGGGCTCGGGGCCAGGGCCAGGGCCCGGGCCGCTCAGCCCCAGTCCCACCGCCGGGCATCTCCCCCGCCCCGGCAGCACCGGGTGAGGCCGCCGGGCCCCGGTGCTGCACGGAGGGCCCGCCCCGCCGGTGCCGGTACCGGTACCTGCTGCTGCCGCCGCGCCCAGCCTGGCCCCGCCGCCCGCCGGAAGCGCGGCCCCGCCGCCGGAGCAGCGCGGCCCCGCCCTGCCCGCCGCCACCGCCCGCCGGGCGCGCCCGCCGCCCGCTCGCTCCGTTCCGGCGGCGCGGAGCGCCCGAGCCCGGGGGGCAGCGGCGGGGACGCGGGGTCCCGGCCGGGCCGGCGGCAGCGAAGGCCCTGAGGGTGGGTGTCGCGCCCCAGCCGGGGTGGGAAGAGCGGCCTGGCCCTCCCGGACCGGGGGTCTGCGCCTTCAGCTGTCCCCGGCATGTGTGAGCCCCGCAGCCCCTCCGGGACGGCTGTCCTGGCCTTGCGCCGCTTCTAAGAGCCGACAGCCGAGAAAGGAGCATGCCGCCCTATTTTACTCCTAGAAATACAGACCGTGAAACACTGGGAATGCTGCAATGGGTACTGTCTGTGGTGGAGAGATCACAGATTCCTCTCTCTTCATCGGTTTAAAAGAAAAAAAGGTCATAAAAGTAATGGTTCGCATGGCAGAGCCTCGCTTACTCAGATTACTGCACAGCAGAGTATTTGTCTCCAATGTTCATGTTCCTCTTAACCAGCAGCAATCTTTCCATATAACAACAGCCAGTATTAATTCACCCATCACTCTTTTGTGTTTGTGCAGGCCTCTCGATGTCTCAAGGTGGTAGCTGATGAAACCACAGTCCTCAATGTCCCTGTTAGCAGGCCATCCACCAAACATTTGTGGCAAGAAGAGGAAAGCACAGCTTCTGAACATGAACCATGGCAAGTCAAGGTGCTGGGAACTGAGAATCAGCACCTCGAGCCCATATCAAACATCAAGGCCAATGGCAAGTGCAAGCAAGAATTGGTCAAGGGTGTGGATGCCAGATCTGCTGCAGAAAAAGTGAGGCATAGAGAGGCAAGACCAGGAGACCTGGATCTGTTTTCTCTCTCAAGTAGGGTTCGATTCAGTGTTCACTTCGTTGGCAAGCCATACAAGGCGCATGTTCTGGCCAGCCAGGTTCAGAAGAGCCTGCAGGACAGCCGGGCACAGATCCCAGCAGGCCACTTCTTCAGAAGGAGAAACTGTAGAAATTTGCGAGAAGAAGAGCAAAGCTTTCAAAAACTCCAGACTGGCATCCCCGGATCAGGGGGATAGGGGATCAGTGGAGGGGCCTGAGGGGCAAGAGGAGTATACAGAGTTAGTGGAGGGTCATCCTGGCAGCCCAGGCCCCCCAGCAAAAGTTCTGTCCCAGAACGAGATGATCAAGCACAGGTAGCACTGAGAGTGTGGTAAAGCCTTTCTGTGGCTCTGCCACCTCAAGAAGCACCACTTAGTCTGTTCTGGCCACAAGCTGCTCCTTTACATGGAGTGTGGCAAGAGCTATGGTTCAGAAGGGAGCTTCAAGGCCCACGTGTTGGCCCACTGGGGTGTGCAGCCATTCCAGTGCACCCAGTATGACAAGGGTTATGCACTCCCTGAGTGGCACAGTCATCATCCTGGAGGGTGGCAGAAGTGGTGGAGGTCGAGACTGGGAGCTGACTATCCCAGTCTGTTCTGGTACTTAATAAAATGAGGTAAAAAGACAACAAAAAAACCTAGTTCTCTTGTCTCTCTGTTAGCAACACAGGCCCTGTGCTCAGCCCCAGGCAGAATTAGCAGTCTCAGAGGTAACTGCCTATGTAAATGTGGGTCTTTGCAGTAACTGCTCCTTAAAGCTGTGAGCCTACACATGCCACGTGCCAGTCCTGGTGCAGGGAAATCATTGGCTGTTGATGGAATAACTTCTTAGAGAAGACACTCACAGTGTTAATGAGCAGCGCTTCTGCTCTGCCTCTGTCACACTGTCAGTTGGTGACAGTGCCCTGCGGGGAAGGCAGGAAATGTCTCAAAGCACAACTTCGAACAATGCCTCCCTTTCAAGATTTTTTAATTCTTGTTATTCAACAAGGTGCTTTCCCGGGCTTTTACTCTTGGAGCTCAGCAGCTCTGATCAAATATTTGAAGGTGATGCTGATGCCAGACATTACTATAATCTTGTAATATGACACCCATTTTTCACAATTAGCAGAAGCAATGTGCTGCTGTGGAGCGAGGACGGAGTGTTCCTTCTCCACTCTCACCTGGTTTCTTGCTGCCAGCCCTGGCCTTATGGTGACTGAGGACATGAAAATGATCGTTTTGTCTTACTGTGCAAATAGCATTGTACAGTGCAATTTTCACCGTCCCCAGCTGAAAGATTTTCTCTTTCCTCTCCATGTTCAAGTTGGGTTCATTAGTCTGTTTCCCTTGTTTCTTTTCACACATTCTTACTTCCTCTCTTCCACTTCTTTCCTTCTTCTGCACCAAAAAGCTAGAAGGCAGCACCACCACAACTATAGCCCAATGTTCCCTCTGCTCCATCTTCTTCAGTACCTGTTTGCCAAGTGAGGCATGCCGATGGAAATTGGTCAGGAAATTGGTCCTGTTTCAGGAAGGAAGTGCACAGTTCCCAGTGCCATGTGAACTTGACC